GCTTGCAATTCACGCAGCCTCTATGGCTGATTTTGGCCGACCTGCTGCTCAGATGCGAGATCCGATGCTACCATCACGTTCGTCATGCCAAAAAAACCCGGTATAGACTCTACCCTCGCCCTGGCTAGCTCACAAAGGAGAGAGATATCTTTTTTTTTTCACACCGCATTCTCCTCTCCGAAACTGCCACACACCCTGTTTATCGGTTTTCTCCCGTCCTACTAACTGATCATGAAACCTAGCCCTTCCAACGGATTCGCCCTACCAAAAGATCCTGGGATCTCCTCTCCCTCTACTAGATTCCATTCAGTATGGAGTGAGATATAAAATTTTCGTCCCCGCCATAGCTATCTTCGTCCTCGTGTCGTGCAGCCCTTATCCCTGGTAACACAAAATCCGTTTCTCATAACCAAAATCCGGCATGGCCATCTGATCCATAATGCTTGAAAACCTCAGATTCACCTCTTTGTTTGCTCAATTCCGTCAAGAATTGAACGAGATACGATTTTTTTCTCTTTCTTGTCCACTCTTTCTTCTCTCTTCCCAACTCCTCCGCGCACTCGTTTCTCCTTCTACCTCACTACTTCTCTTCTAATTTAGAAATCTAGCTTTGTACTTGGATTCGTCCTGCCTCTAAGCCAGTACCCCACTCCTCTCTTCTTCGTCATGATCCTCTCCCTCATCGTCTCCTCCCCCTCTTCTCCCTCGTAGCCCGCTGCTCCACGAGCCTCTCCCGCCAGTCAAGATATGTCTGGATAATAGCGTACAGTCCACCCGCCTTGAATACCTGAATGGACATGAAGTCCTGGTCACCGGACCGTGCTGTCTTATATAGCCTAGAAAGGTATGTCCACATAGCTTACTCGTGCCTCACTCAAAAGACGCATCACTACCATTTGCTCTTGTTGGAACGAATCTGCCCAAACCTAGGCAACAGGTCCATCCATCTGAGAAAAAATTGTAGTGCAGTCCCTAAAAGGAGAATAGGGGTTGATAATAAATAATAATAATAGTAGTAAATAAAAATTGGTCTTGGTAAGACACATAATCGATGGGGGCGTCACAACACATACGTAGAGCCGTTCTCCGGAGCGAACTCTTGATCTACATTTTAACAGCCCGTGAGTGTGCCACCCAAGCTAAGCTTGCTGGTACCTGCTAGCCTTGTTGCAGCCCCCACCAGAATCCCTCCGGTCTGCTTTGCCCGGCCGTAACCCCCTAACAGGCATGCTCACTCTGCGACCGTGCTAGCTTACATTGTTTGTTTGGCTGATCAACCACTACCTCGGAACAACCCAAACTGGGCGTCCCTCCCCTGAACCTATACCAGATTCACTAGTGGGGGAAGCGGTCCGTGAATGTTTCCACCGAACTAGGCCGCTGGGCCTCACTGCTAGTCCCGGTACGGGTACCGGGCCTCATCCCAAAAAAAATCTAGAAGTAGAAAAAAATAAAAATAAATATAAGAAAAAAAAACTCAGGGATAAAAAGACGGATGGGGGAGGAGGACCGTTGGTATCTGGTGCTACCTTGCGGGTCTGCGGTCGGAACCCCCTGCAAAAAGCGAAGGGGGATAGTCTTGCGGGACCCTCGACCCCTCCCTCGGCTCACTCCGACACGCTCCTCTACCACTCTGCTGCTGGCTGCTGGCCTCGATCCCAATATCTGCCTAGTGGTAGTTTGATGATGTAACCTATAGGGCTAAGCCCAAGCCTGGGTGTAGCAGGCCCAATCTTCTATATGAATGGTATATCAGTCATCCCGGCCCGCAAATAGCATCGCAGGCCATTTCCCCCTCCTATGGCCTGCGCCCTTGGTTCCTAGGGCCGTGCTTGGCTATTCTGGCGGCCCGGCTTTGCTGGCTTACCACACGCACTGGCCCAACCATGTCAAGACTGCGATTTGAGCGTCTTCGGGCCGGCCACGGCGCCTTTTTACCGCCTCTCCGCCGAAAGAACCCCGCTCGCTACCCTTTTTAGTGCCGCCTTTCCTTGGTCATAGCCCTACTAAGTCAATATTGTGTCGTCCGAGATCTTGCCTGCGCGTGCGAGGCTACAACCACCTCAGAGACTCTAGAGTGACACTCATTCGTCCCGCCGACGCCCCACGGACTTCTACGACCCAGACTTGGTCACGCTAACGTGCGCCCACGAAGTGCACGCCCGCACACTCTCTAATCAATATAAATGGGACGCGCCCTCAACTATCACCGGGCGCGCTTTTCCTGTAAGTTGCAAAAATGTGCCCAAATACCCTTGTAAGGGTATTCGGGCCGACAACGCATACTTCAAACTTCTAAGTATAAGGAACATTAGTATGCCAAGTAATGGGGATACCAATGGGGAAGGGCTCTAGCCCACCCATTGCCAACATGGTATGCGCGTTGGACGAGTACAGATGGTGTGCGCAGACTGGAATTAATAAGAAACTTATCCACGATATGAGTTTTGTGGAGGATGTAATGATGATCATAATAGCAAGTAAGGAAGATCAAACGAAAGAGTTGGAATGTCTGAAATCTTTTCAAACATGCTGCCACCAATCTCTAAAACTTGAAATCATATAAGACAACACGGACACGGAATGAACATATCTGGAAACAAGGGTGACGAAATAAATCAACGAACAGAATCATAAGATATGATGAAACTAGCTTCAGATTGAAGGCATGTTGGAAATGGACGGCGACAAGGACAACACAGAGAGCGACTGCGGGAAATCCTGAGGATAGATGATGACTACACTGCAAGGATAGGGAAAGTGGCGGAGAAGGACTGGGAACGAAGGGTAAAAATACTGAGGATAGTGGCTGAAATGATTACCTGAGCAGTGAGGAAGAAGGGTAATCGCGACTGGTCTCGCATGCCATGGACATTAGGTGTATCCTGTGAAAGTAAAACCTCGCACGTTCTGTCTACATTTGCATGTGTTTATCTTTCTTCTCTCTCTCTCTCTCTCTCCCTCTCTCTTTCTCTGGTAGCCCCCCCCCCTCCCTCTCTCTCTATTTCTTTCTCTCTCTCACACTCATAACAATAAATGGAACAGAACTCTCTCTCTCTCTCTCTCTCTCTCTCTCTGTCTCAGTCTCTGTCTGTCTCTCTCTCTCTCTCTCTCTCTCTCCCTCTCTCTCTCTCTCTCGTGTTAGCTCCTAGTCTCATTGATTTGGCTACCTTAGGGCTGCGTTCCCCGCGCCCACGCGGTAGACAATTTATTTCTCTCTCTCACACTCATAACAAAAGATGGAACAAAACTCTCTCTCTCTCTCTCTCTCTCTCTCTCTCTCTCTCTCTCTCTCTCTCTCTCTCTCTTGTGTTAGCTCTTAGTCTCATTGATTTGGCTACGGTAGACAATTCCTACCCTATGTTGTTTCACCCACCTTCCCTGGGATCCGCCCAAGGGTACCCCAGTACCTCTCGCCAGCCTTTCCTTGCCCGGCCCCCCCCCACACTCCCCTCCCCCTTTCCCTCGGGCCTCCCCCCATTGCCTCCTCAATGGTCCCGTCTGGCCTTCCACAGGCTGTCCCATCCTGTCGGCCGATGGCTGTCGCTACTGCTGGTCGGTCCGTCGCCTGTTGGTCGTTGGATGGCACCCTACCGGTAGGCGGTCGTCCGTTCCACGCATCGACAGGAGAGTTTCGTCGCATGCGCAGAGAGAGTAAAACATTTGCACCATCAAATCAAATGAATAGAAACCCACTGTGGTGCCACGCGTGGCAAGCGGGAAAGGACACGTGTCTCGCAGGCAGTGCACTCGAAGTGGACAGAGGCACGTGTCACCTATCTACGGGATAGGCCCTTGATTGATAGAACTTGAAATCGCAAGCACGCGCCACGTGTCACCCTTGTAACATAAGATTAGTCGAGAGAGGCTGAGGCTGGTAATCACCCACCCACCCACCCACCCACCCACCCACCTATTGGGTCGCAAGTCGCGATCGCGGCGGCTGAAATTTGGCGGGAAAGCGATCTGCAACGGGCAGAATGGCGCGCAGTGGAAGTTGAGTCGGATATTGCCGGGGGGGGAAGTACACGTGGCAGGAGGAGGAGAGAAGAGAGAAGGGCTTGCGTACGGGGAAGAGAGAAGCGGCAAAGGAGGACGGGGCGCATCTATCCGCAAATTGGGGCGGGGGAGAGGAGGAGAGAGGAGAGAGAAGAGAGGAGGGAGGTGAAGAGGATGAAGAGGAGAAGGTGCGTGTTTTTCTTGTGGCTGTGTGCGGCTTCTCTTTTTGTCGTTTTCCTGTCGTTGGCTGAGCAGGCAAACAGTTTCGCGGGAAGAGAGGACGGCGCGCAGTCGAAGGGGCAGATTGATCAGGTGGTAGTAGAAAAGGTCGGCGATGGCGGGAAGGAGGAGGGAAATGGCGGGAAGTTGGAATACGTGGAGGAAGGTGGTGATGAAACCAAGAGCAGGGGGGTGAGCGGAGGAGGAGGAGGAGGGGGAGGAGGAGGAGGAGGAGAAGAGGAAGAAGAAGAAGGAGGCAGGCACGTAGCAGGGCAAGAAGAAGGGGAAGCCATGGGCGCGGTGACGAAAACGAGGAAGGATAGACGACGTCAGCGGGCGGTATCTGTGGAAAAGGAGGAGGAGGAAGAGGAGGAGGAGGAGGAGGAGAAGGTGGCGCATGGGGAGGAAGAAGAGGAGCAAGATGAGATCCATACTGGTCGCCATTCATCTCCTTCATCTCCCTCATCACCATCTTCTTCTTCTTCTTCTTCTTCTTCTTCTTCCCTCACCATCGCTAAGTCATCGTCGAAATCCGAGCTCGCTGGCGATGGCGGTGGCGGGAAGGAGAGGGAAAGAAAGAAAGGAAAAGAAGAAGAGGAGGAAGAAGAAGAACAAGGCGACAACGACGACGACGACGACGAAGAAGAAGAAGAGGAAGCGGGTGGTAGTTCATCTAGGTCTTCTCCTAAAACCACCTCCGCAGGCAGATCGTCGATGGATGATAACTCTCCATCCTCTTCTTCTTCTCGATCTCCTCCATCGTCGCGTCCGTCGCCATCTCCGCGCCGCCATCGCCATCCTTCTTCTTCTTCTTCTTCTTCTTCGAGAAGGAGGAGGGAGGAGGGTGGGTTGTTGTCGGAGCCACCTCCTGTCAAGCGCGAGGAGATAGATCCTGGTTCATGGAAAACAGCAGTGCATTATCCCTTCCCAGAAGTGATTAAGCTGGTGAATGGTGGGGACCCTCATGGGTTGTATCTACTGGGACTAAAGATGTTGTTATCTGCTCCTGGCATGGGGAGAGATGTAAGGAAGGCCGTCGACTTGCTTCGTCAGGCTGCAGATGGGGGGAACGAGCATGCGCAGTCGGTCTTGGGGTGCCTATACGGAGCGGGCCATGGGGTGGAGCAGAGCGACGCCAAAGCATATCTCTACCACACATTCGCGGCGAATGGAGGGAGTGTGCAGTCCAAGATGGCCCTGGGGTACACAGCATTCCGCCAGCAGGTTAGTGTGCGAGGTTAATCCGATTGCTAACCCGCTAGTTAATTCTGTATGCTAGGTCACAGTTTTCTGAATGCTGCCGTGAAAATTGCCCGCCATTCTCTGTCAATTTGCAACGAGAACAATCTGTAACGGAATCTCGCTCTATCTGCGCCTCTCTATCTGCGTCTCTCTCTCTCTCTCTCTTTGCGTCTCTCTCTCTCTCTCTCTCTCTCTCTCTCTCTCTCTCTCTCTCTCTCTCTCTCTCTCTCTCTCTCTCTNTCTCTCTCTCTCTCTCTCTCTCTCTCTCTCTCTCTCTCTCTCTCTCTCTCTCTCTCTCTCTCTCTCTCTCTTTGCGTCTCTCTCTCTCTCTCTCTCGCTTTCTCTATGTGTGTGCGTCTGTCTGTCTTTCTCTGTGTGTGTGTCTGTGTGTCTTTGTGTGTGTCAATCTCTCTCTCTCTCTCTGTCTCGTCCTCCCTCTCTCTCTATCTGTGTCAATCTTTCTCTCTCTTTCAATACGTCAGTGTGAGAGGTTCTGTATGCGAGGTTCTGTGTGCGAGGAGGTTCTGAGTGCGAGGTTTTCTGTATGGTGCAGTGAAACTTGCCAGCCATTATCTGTCAATTTGCAACGAGAACAATCCGTAACGGAATCTCGCTCTATCTGCGCCTCTCTATCTGCGTCTCTCTCGCTGTCTTTCTCTCTCTGCTCTCTCTCTCTCTTTGCGTCTCTCTCTCACTTTTTCTATGTGTGTGCGTCTGTCTGTCTTTCTCTGTGTGTGTGTCTGTGTGTGTCTTTGTGTGTGTCAATCTCTCTCTCTGTGGCTCTCTCTCTCTGTCTCTCTCTCTGTCTCTCTCTCTCTCTCTCTCTCTCTCTCTCTCTCTCTTTCTGTGTCAATCTTTCTCTCTTTCAATACGTCAGTTTTGTCTGCTGCCAGGCGGGGAACTTGCCATATCTGCCAATTTGCAACTAGGGCAATCTGTTAGGGAGTCCCTCTCTCTCTCTCTCTTTCTCTGTCAGTCTCTCTCTTTTCTTTGTCAATCTCTCTCTGTGTTTCTCCCTCTCCCTCTCTCTCTCTCTCTCTTTCTGTGCCAATCTCTCTCTCTCCCTCCCTCCCTTTTCTCTCTCTCTCTCTTTCACACAGCAGGTCAGTGTGCCAGCTTCTGTCTGCTGCCAACCGGTAAACTCTGCCAATTTGCAACTAGGACAATCTGTGAGGGAATCTCTCCCTCCCTCTCTCTCTCTCTCTCTTTCTTCGTCAATCTCTGTCTCTCTCTCTCTCTCTCTCTCTCTTCCTCTGTCTCTCTCTCTCTCTCAAAAGGCCAGTTACTGATTTCTGTCTAGTTGCCATTCTTTCAATTTGCCACTGAAGCAATCTGTTACCCAATCTCTCTTCTTCTTCTCTCTCTCTCTCTCTCTCTGTCTTTCTCTTTCTCTCTCTCTCTCTCTGTCTTTCTCTTTCTCTCTCTCTCTCTTTTTCTCTCTCTTTCTCTCCCTCTCTCTCTTTCCGTGTCAGACAAGATCGAGTTGTCAGGCTGCCGTCCATCTGGCGGGCTGTCAGTCGTACGATCTGCTGATCTGTCAGTGATCTCAAGGGAGCTTAGGGTGTCTCTGTCACTATAGTACCCAAGATGAGCACTTAAAGGGGGAAGAAAGACAGCGCTTGAGGGCGTAGTCACCGTAGGGCTGACTTTCTGAGATGTACCAGACCGCATGTTTAAGGCGAGATTCTTTGCCAAAAACAAAAAAGAGAGGCCAGATTCTCTGCAGAGAGTGCAAGTGTATGGTTTTGTTCCATCAATCTGCACAGTATCTGGCCTCTTTTTTTAATTATGGCACTGAAACTGGTTTAAAAATGCGGTCTGATACAGCTAATGACTCCGTTGGACCAGGGTAGTAAAGCCCAGGTTGCCTCTGTTTTCCGTTGCCTGCCATTCTGTCAGTCCGACAATGACAGTCGAAGTCTGTCAGTCTTTGAGGGTATACTCAGCAGGTCAGGTAGTTTGTCCACGTGTCTGTCTGGTAATCTCCCTCTCTCTCTCTCTCTCTTTCTCCCTCTCCCTCTCTTTCTCTCCC